GGAGTGTTTGGGGGAATGTCAAGGGGGGGGGGTGTCCTCGGGCTTGACTGTCAAAATGCTTACAACTGTGTTGTCAGAGATTTATTGAGGCTTATTTTATTGAAGCAGGGTTTTGGAGAGGAGATTGTAAAATGGGTTGATACTTTGTATGCCTTGGCTATGGTATGAGTACAGGTAAACGGTAAATTGAGACAGCCGGTCTGTATGGAAAGGGTTTGAGGCAAGGGTGCCCCCTCTCCCAGCTGCGTTTTGCTTGTATGCAAAACCCCTTTTATGAACTGGTGGATGGTGTTTTGGGGCATGGAATGCTGAGCAGCGACCATGCAGCGCGTGTGGTCGGGTACGTCGATGATACCACGATATTGTTAAAAGGGGAGGAGGATTTGCAGACCGTGGGATGGATTGTTGAGTTTTTGGGGGCAGAGACTGGTGTGGAGAAATTTTCTCCAAGAGGGGGGTATCAGCCCCTTCAGCCCCTTTCAGCCCCTTTCAGCCCTGAGGGGCCCAGCCCTCTCAGAAGGGGCAAGCATCTTGTTTACTGCTACAGCAAGTAATTGATCCCAGATGCAGTACGAGTATGCGACGTGGTCAAGTGACCGACGCTCCTTGCAGTCCAGTGTTGCAAAGTATAGTTTAATAAAAGACAGTCCATCTCTTACCTTAGCAGGACAATCCTGCTCCCACTTTATTACCATGGAACAGATAGTGTACATTGTTGTCTATGCTTAAGACAGCAAGAATCAAGTATTCTGCTTTGCTTCATGGAGGAAGTTTGGCAAGGAAGCAAAAGTACTAGGTCAGCTTTTCCTTTATGTGCTAGGGGTAGTGACGGTGTAGGAGGCTGTGACGTCAGATTACTTTTGACCCTACTGGGAGTCACGCTGATGTCAGGATAACCAACAAAGAACACTGATCTGTGCGTTAGTGTGAACAAAGTGTCTCACAAAACACGATAAACACTCACAGAGAAGTGTGATCAACTTCTTAGTGATATTGTGTGAACAATTGTTGATGAACAGTGTAACAACGAGTGTTGCGATCCAACAGAGTGTAGTGCGACATTCTTCAAAGAACACTATTCTTCAATCAACTCAACGGATATCCGGGTGTAACTATGGGTCAGATACATATACCCAGGTAAGTGTTCTAACTCATGATGTACTACTATTGACTGCGCAGATGAGTCAAAGTTATGAGTTAGTCACTTATCATAAACCCCGGTGATAAGCGGACTTTTAAGTCCACACAAGTACATAAGTCAGCCATCAGTGAATGAAATATGCTGACATAACACCCCCTAGGGGTAATTTATGATTAACCTAATATTCATTTTCAGCCCATTGTGAAATGGACGATACAGCTTCTCAAGACCTCGTCTGCAGGGGTGGTTGTGCAGGCGATGAGTTGTCTTTCTAAGCTAAGTTTTCCCTATTTTTAAATTTAGATGGTAAACCATTTCTCAACAACTGGCATGTGTGTCAATAAGGCAAAATCGAAATTATTGGAGGTGGGTACATGGGTAGGGGGTGGTTAGGGCGAAAGGTATGGGTGGTCAGTCGTGGTGAAACTTAAAATATGTGGTATCATGTACATGGCAGATGAGAGGGAGGGCCGAAGGGTAAATTCTGAATTGGTGGTTAACAAGGCTTTAGATCGACTTCGGGGGTTAAGAGCTGGGGATGTCTCATTGCAACAGAGGGCAGTAGTGGTTAATACACTTGTTTATAGTAAGAAATGTGGATATACAGGAACTGCAAAGAAGGGTCTTACGTTATGTTTGGGGTTTTGGGAGAGCTTGGTTACGTCAGGAGGTTGTCATGACTCATGTTCGTCGTGGGGGTTTAGGTCTCTTGGCTTTGGGGCCACGGGTGAAGGCCCTCTATGTACAGAAGCGGTTCCTCAGGGTGGGCGGTGAGAAGGGCATCCGGGTGGGTCAGATAATGATCGAAATGCGTAAATGGTGGAGTGGCAGGGGATTAATAGAGTGTGAGGATATGTTGCATTTGTTGTTAAAGTTGAGAAATGCGCAACGGATCTGGGTGGGGCAAATGGTCAGCATATGTTGCCTTAGGGAAATTGTGCGGGGATTGTCTGTTTTTCCGCTGTATAATTGGGGGGAAATATGGGACGGGTTTTGTAAACTTAAGTTGGCACCGAGGGTTCGTGAATTGGTGTACAGATTTGTCATGAGGATTTTAGCATCAAAATCGGTCTTAAATAGGATGGGTTTGGTAAGGGAGGCGGATTGCTTACGTTGCGGTCTAGAAGAAACAGCTTTTCATGCAGTCTACTTTTGTGATACTTTGGACAAAGTTCGTTCGTGATTGGGGCGGGTTTTCGATTTTCTTAGTGGGGGAAGTATCTCAACCTTACGGGCCTTAACATTGGACGTTAGCGGAGTATCAAGTGAGGTACGAAGAGCGATAATGTACGTGGTGGCTGATTTTCTCTATATCTCGTGAGGTATGCGGGAAACCGGGGGATCAGTTAGGATCAGGGCAATTGCGGCAGGCATCTACAGAACGTATTGCAGAAACAAACTCATATATGGTAGAAGTTCAAAGGTTGCTGCAACTGGGGCTGGGGTTAAGCAACCGGGGGCTGGACTCCCCCCGTGGTAACACCAAACGGTAAGTTCGGGACTTCAGGTAGAGGGCGGGATTTAGTGAGTGGCGTGTATGTATTATGGATGGTTCCGTGCGTCTGTGTGTGTATGGATGTTGCGTTGTGTGGAACTGAGATCTTGGATTAATCCTAAAATGGTCATGCATCTCGATAATACAGATAAAAAGCAATATTTCAAGACTGAACCGGTTCCCTACTATGGCCGAGGTTTGGTAAAGTATGTTGGGTCTTTCCTGGGATTCCCGTTAGGTTTTGTTTAGTCATATTGTAAGCGGATATCATGCTGTTATCACCGCTAAAAGTACAACGTTATACTGACCTTTTAGGGTAATGCTCATAAGCAGACCTTTTGGTGATGGTTGTAAACTTTTGATGAAGGGCAAAAAGCTTCATTTGCCTAAGATTGTTTTGTATATGTTGTAGCGGTCACCGCTGTGAGGGGGGAGATGTATAATGTCCTATATTGTCATCTTTGGACATTCAAGTTCCTTGGGCAGCACACTCTTGCTGGGTAATATGTTGCTCTGTCACCCGGTGGTATCACATGTATTTTTTTTATCACTTATGGTGCATATAGTCAGTTAATGTACAATTAAGCACCTTTACTAATTTCAATACAAGCAAGGAATTTTTTTTGTTGGTTTAAATTTATTTAAGACACAAAATTTGGGGGTTTGGTCGGGTATTGGTGCTTAGTGTTTCCTCATATGTAATCAACATGTTAGATCTAAAAGTCTTGGGTTAATTATTAAAGGCTTTTTGCATATTTGATTCCATTTAAATAATAAAAAAAAAAAATAAAGAACCCCATTAAATTCAAAAATCATGCAGGTTTTGATAGTAATTTTATACAACCATAGCACCATTTTTTGGCAATGTTTATATAAACTTTGTTTTTGTATATAATTTTTTATAACGAATAATAAGAGTGTCAGGTTTGGTGAATATTTATTTTGTTTTTAAGTATTTTCAGGTTATACCTTTTAGTTAATAATGTTTGTCTTATGCTCGCATTCCTTGTTTTAAGTAAACTATGTTACCAACATGTATACTGTTTTTTTTAAAATAAAAAAAAAAAAAAAAAAAATGATACGGGAACCATTACTTAATTTTTTGTTTTTGGGTTCCATTGTATATAGTCCTTTTAAAATTCTTTTTAAGGATTAAAAACACACACATACACACACACACCACCCCAAATATATATATATATATATAAAAAATATATATTATATAATATATATATAATTTATTAAAAAAAATCAAACTGTATACGATGAGATGATACGTTGTAGTGAATCAAAAGATCCTGTTCTTTTTAGGGTTTCCACATATTTGTTTGTTACACTTAGTTATTTTTTGAATTTCCAGAAATGTACGGGAAACTAGTTATGAACTTTTGCAGTGTTTTGTTAGGTTTTAATTTTGGGTGTTTTTAAAGTTGTATATAGCGGGTTTTGGTCAAATACTCTTTTGATGGGAAGTTTTCATTGTGTTTATCCTTTATAAACCTGATTGTTATTCATGAGATGTTCTCATTGTAAATCATATTATACTTTTCTTTAAATAAAATAAAAAAAAATCCATAATATATTGAAACTAAGTGATTTGTGATCACTTTCCCCAAGCTCATCATTAACCTAAAGATTATAATTTGTAAACCTTTGTTGGCAAAAACCCAAAGTCAAGCAGTTTGTTTCCCAGTTGGTTCTGTCAAAAACCTTTTCTAAAAGCAAACCTGAACCAATAAGAAAGTCCTGACTCAGATTTCCTGTCATATTGTTCCAATAAATTTGTCTAAGTTAAAATTTCCCTTATACAAATTTTCAATTAATCCTTAGGAAATTTTGTCTCATAACAGTTACTGCACTCCCTATCAAGGGTTTGGGCCTATAAACACACCCCCAAAGGTGAGGGGATAATTTTTCCTTAGATTTTTTTGGAGAAAAAAAATGGAAAAAAAAAAAAGTAGAAAAGGGATTTTATGTCTTCAAAGAGAAGCTTTCAATTTTTAATGGGTTTAATTTAATGACTCAACAATAACAGTTTAGACAGTACGAATATATACAGTGACGAGTGGGGTTAGTAAAAGTGTATGGAACACTTAATAGGGCGAAAAGTTGGGGGGAAAGTGTGGTTTGGATGGTGATGATGCCCGTGTTAACAATACCCTTTTTTGGTATATGCGCGTTTTCGATTATCGTTCCCAGTATCATTCGTCGGATCGAATATGTTGGTTTGTAGCTGAGAGACAATCACGAAAAAAGGACACTCAAGAACCTTCACAGCTTTCATAGTTAGCTTGCACTGGTTGTAAAATGCAAGTACTGTTATTAGCATAAATAATATTAGAGCTATTCCGGCAACCATTACAGATTACACAGTGGTCGAGTACTGGAGGTGGGAGAAGGTGGTACTGGTGGTATGGATGATGGTGACACTTGTTTTAACAAGGAGTTATTCTGGTAATCTCATGGCACTCTTGGCAGTAAAGCACATTCCTCAGCCCTACCAGACCCTGAGGGACGTGGTAGACGACCCCTCCGTTACAATGATATGGGAAAAGGACTCAGGTGCTAGCCCCATTCTGAAGGTAAGTAATTAATGCTTAATTTCTCATTTAATTTTAAAAAAGTATGCAGTGTACGAGGATAATTAAGACTGTATGTTACTTGAACACTAATTATCAAGAATAATTAAACCTTAATCTATAGAAAAAGTAAATTACAGGTATATTTACAATCAGCTACACAACTCTCAAAGTGTACACAATGTTGCTACAACAAGGGAGAGATTCTCAAAATTTATATGAAGGGTATCATAGAGTTTGGAATTAAATCCTGAGTCATTAAGACTGCTTGTTACCTGTTCATCACCAGACAAGATTTTAATATATAAATGAATTCAGTTAGCAAGAATTCACTTAAAATTAAGTCCTTTCTAAAATTTTCTAAAATAATTATTTTTTTAAGTTAACATAAATTAAATATATATATATATTTAAACGAATACGACAAAATTTTAGAAAGGACTTAATTTTAAATGAGATCTTGTTAATTGACCAATTTTAACTATTCTGCACGAAATATTATATATATATAATATATATATATATATATATATATATATATATATATATATATATATATATAATATATATATATGTCGTGCCGAATATGTAAAAATGGTCAATTAGCAAGAACACATTTAAAATTAAGTCCTTTCTAAAATTTTCTTTTATATGTTTAAAGATATATTTTTTTCATTAATGTTAATGCAAAAATTTTTAATTTTCCACCAAAAGAATCTTAGAAAACTTACCTAACCTTATTGTAACAAGAACAATTTATTTTAGCCTAACCCAACTATATATATTTTAGATTTGTTTACAATAATTTAATACTAAACAAATACAGTGAAATATATTTTTTTTCGTTAGGTTCAGAATGATTTTGGCGAAATTATTGCATACACAAATTTTCACTTGTCCTATATGGCAAAATGAACGTTGCTATTTAAGCCAAGATCGCAAGTTCTGCCTATTCGGCACGACATATATATATATATATATATATATATATATATATATATATATATATATATATATATATATATAATATATATATATATATATATATGATGGGGTCCACCTCTGGTGTAAATTGTGGGACCCATTGCCTCGGAGAAGTGCATAAAAAGACTTCAAGGAAGAATATTTGGATTTCTTCCTGAAGCCGTTTGAATATTCCACTTCCCCTACCACCCCATCTTTTAGTATATTTTTTTTTTTTACCAATAGGAATATTTTATTGCATAATATGGTACAGAAGATTTAAGAGATACATTGTTGATATAAAGGTGGCATATACGGTACATGTTGTTACGTGTGTATCACCGATTATAAGGCGAAAATCTCATCCAGCTCCTCAGAGCTGGGGCGTGTGCCCAAAATACAGCAGGCATTACCCCTTTGAACAGCCGCACTGAGCCGCTGGAACAGAAAACTAGCTGCCCTGGGATCCCTAGTTACCCTGATGAGTCTTTTTCCCAGCTCCTTAAGGAATTTAGATGCACTCTTTCCCCATGAGCCAAGGGTCTCTGAGCCTATGGGAACAAACATATAATGAGGGCAAGTTCTCCATATTTTCTAGACTTTTGGGACTCCCTGAAGCTGGCAGCTGCCCCTCCTTCCTCCCTGGTGTACTGGAGATAGGTATCAGCCAAGGTAGATGCACATGTATAGTCCCACACCACCTGCTTCCCATCTGTCCAGGCTTGAAGGGTGATACCATCTGGACGCTTCTGGCTGCCATCAGATCTGCATAGTTGGGGTGGCTCCCTTACTGCTGGGCATCCAGCTGTTGTGAGGCTCCTCTTGATAATGTTATTAACCTCCTCATGTCTTGCAATCTTTCCCTCGGATTTACGGCACACAAGACCATGGTACCCGAATCGGTCTGCTGCTTCACTGCCACAAATACACCTGTGTTCGGCGAGAATAGGGGCGGCAAGTCGAAGGGCAACACCGATGCGGATGGTCTGTGGGTCGAGACGTGTGCCAAGGCTGGAGTTGGGAACAGCCAACAGAAAGTCCCCAGCATGAGGGGCTCTCACTGCCAGGAGGCGGGCTCTATCCTTCCCTGACACACTCTGAAGCATTGTTGAGGCAATATTTTCCACTATTGGACCATCCCAGTGCGATTGTTTGTAGTTGTTGGGGGGAGCAGGTCTGGCTCCAGAGCCCGTTAGATTATCCCAGATCATTGCTCCGTCAATGAATATATATATATATACATATATATATATATAATATATATATATATACATATATATATATATATATATATATACACATATATATACACACAATACTGTGGCCACTATTCTCTCATACATCCACAGGTCAAAGTGGGTTTTAAACAAATACAATACTGCGACTAGCCGGGAATCGAACCCAGAACATTTAGCCCAGATCATACTAACCAGGCTATCCTCCCGACACCTTAAACCACTTGACTACCATGATACAAACACCAGAGACGCAGCCAAGCACACTGGGTCTTCCTCCCGGTTGGTTGCAATATTGTGTTTTCTTAAAATACCTTTTGTTCTCTGTATGCATTAATATGTGTACTGCTCGTTGAGACTGGTATTCCAACTGGGAAAAGATAGAAATTAGTCATGTAGTACCCACGACCACGAATGTGCTCACACCAAGAAGCAGACCCAGTGTACTTGATGCCTCCCTGGTCGTCCCCTGGTTGTCAAGTGTTTTAAGGCGTCTGGAGTTATATTGGCTCCCAGGATCTGTTCAGTATATCCTGGGTTCAATTCCTTTCTCGTTGCAGTATTGTAGTGTTGAAAAACTACTTTGTTCTGTGAATGTGTGAGAGTATGGTGGTACCAACACTTATATATGAGTGTAAAGCATGGGTTGTGAATGTTGCAGTGAGATGGAGGCTGGAGACAGAGGACATGCTATGGGCAGTGTGTTGTGGAAATATTATCCAGAGAATTCGTAGTGTGGAAATTAGGAGACAGTGTGGAAGACGGCTGAGGGAGGGAGGGAGGGGGGGTGTTGAGGTCGTCCTAGGAAAGGACGGAGGGAGGTGGTAAAGAAAGTTTTGTGTGCGAGGGGCTTGGACTTACTGGCATGTATGAGCGTGATATAAAAGGGTGGAGACGAATGGTTTTTGGGACTTGACGAGTTGTTGGGGTGTGAGAAATGTTATATTTTCTCAAGGGATTCTGGAAAATCGGTTAGCCAGAGTTAAAACCTGGGGGTGAGAAGTGCAGCTCCTGCAGTCTAACTTATTAATCAGGGATATTTGCGGTTTAGAGTGACATCTAAACTGCGCGCCTCTGGCAAACAGTGATAGTTTGAATGACGCTGAAGTGTTTCTTTTTCGGGTCACCCTGCCTTGGTGGGAGACGGCAATTTACAGATTATATTTTTAGCCCTCATACATGCTTCTGTTTATTCGTTGATGCTCTAACCACTGACCCATCAGTGCTACAAATATCAGATAACTGGTAACATTGAGCATGTCTCCTGATTAAGGCACATACGTGACTGTGGTATGCTCCGAGTTACCACAGCCACGTATGTGTTCGCATCAGGAGACATGCCCGGTGTTACTGGGTACCTGATGTTTCTAGCATTGTTGGCTCAGTTTTTAAAGCATCGCGGACAATAAAAAAAAGGCACAATACCTGACTGGAACGATACACAAATAACCCGCACATAGAAGAGAGGCGCTTACGACGACGTTTCGGGACGAAACGTTGTCGTAAGCTCCTCTCTTCTATGTACGGGGTTTTTTGTGCATCGTGGATTTTAGCAGGCTTTATAAGAGACTGGCTAAAATAACATGGGTTCAATCTTTGTATAGTTGCAGCACTGTTAATTGCCTAAAAACCGACTTGCTCGTGGATGCATATATATATATATATATATATATATAATATATATATATATATATATATATATATATATATATATATATATATATATATATATATATATATATATATATATATATATATATATGTCGTGCCGAATATGTAAAACTGGTCAATTAGCAAGAACTCATTTAAAATTAAGTCCTTTCTAAAATTTTCTCTTGTACGTTTAAAAGATATATTTTTTTCATTAATGTTGATGTAAAAATTTATAATTTTGCACCAAAAGGAACTTAGAAAACTTACCTAACCTTATTATAACAAGCGCAATTTATTTTAGCCTAACCCAACTAAATATATTTTAGATTTGTTTACAATAATTTAATATTAAAAACAAACACAGTGAAATATATTTTTTTTCGTTAGTTTAGAATAATTTTGGCGAAATTATTGCATACACAAAATTTCACTTGTCCTATATGGCAAGATGAGCGTTGCTATTTAAGCCAAGATAGCAAGTTCTGCCTATTCGCACGACATATATATATATATATATATATATATATATATATATATATATATATATATATATATATATATATATACGTCGTGCCGAATAGGCAGAACTTGCGATCTTGGCTTAAATAGCAACGCTCATCTTGCCATATAGGACAAGCGAAAATTTGTGTATGCAATAATTTCGCCAAAATCATTCTGAACCTAACGAAAAAAATATATTTCACTGTGTTTGTTTAGTATTAAATTATTGTAAAGAAATCTATAATATATATAGTTGGGTTAGGCTAAAATAAATTGTTCTTGTTATAATAAGGTTAGGTAAGTTTTCTAAGATTCTTTTGGTGCAAAATTAAAAATTTTTACATTAACATTAATGAAAAAAAAATATCTTTAAACGTATAAGAGAAAATTTCAGAAAGGACTTAATTTTAAATGAGTTCTTGCTAATTGACCAGTTTTACATATTCGGCACGACATACACACACACACACACACACACACATATATATATATATATAAATATATATATATATATATATATATATATATATATATAATATATATATATATATATATATATATTGTACCCACGAAACGAGTGGCATTGATCAATAACAACACTTGCCAAGGAGTCGAACCCATATTGATTTGGCCTGCCTCATGGTGGGCGAAAACTCATGATATATATGTATGTATGTATACGTATCCTATACATATAAATTTAAATTTGGTTTGGCTTTTAGTCAGCAGAGTCTGGTATATTCCGGGAGATAGCTGACAAGGAGAAGGTTGGAAAGCTCATATGGAAAACACAACCGCAGTTTCCAGAAGCCATAGACACTTTGGTGCGACGAGGCGACCATGTTCTAATGCGGTCTGATAGTGGCCATAAGACTTCTATTGCTCAAGACTTTACGAAAACAGGTAGATTTAAAATGTTTATTGTTTTACTGCATTTAAAAAACATACTCATACACAAACGCACATACACACACATAGTTTGACGTAATCAGTCCCTCAGCCCGGAGCCGCTGTGTACAGTCACTTAGAGTTGACACGAGGGACAATGTCGCTCGTTCATCACCTCTAGTCGTAGCTGTGTCTTCCCTAGTCTGTTTTCTTATGGCTGATGTCTCCCATGAACGTAAGTTTGGGATTGGTTGCGTGGGTACCTCAATCCATGTTTGCTATCATGTCCATCATCGCGTTATTGCTATCACATTAAACATACTTATCGCCTGCTGTTTAAAAGTAGGTTATACATCACTTTTTCTTCACCTTGGGTCCTCCTGGTTTGATTGTCCTTATTATGTATTGATATAACACTTCTCCATTTATTCCGCTTTCATCTTCCAAAATCCACTGGTTCCTGATCAGCAGTGTTACTCCTTCATTTCCAGCTTTCTCTCTCCTTTCTCGTTACCTTATCATTTCTCGTTATCTGTGTTGGGAGGACTCTACTCCTATCTCTTTCCTTTCACTGCCTTTATTTGTATACCACTTTTCTAATTTCCTGTCTGTTATAATGCTCGGGTTTAGGGGATCTTCTGGATTTTAGCAATGTGTTAGAGGGTGGGAATAGGGAGTAGAGGCTCGGGACGAGGGTAAGGGCTAGATGGAGGGGGTGGATCCTGCATTGCAAGGGGATCATGGATCAGGTTACAGAGGATAGAGAAGGTGGCTCGGGCTCGGGGTTCTGTGGGATAGTTATAAGAAAGAACCTTGCATTGCAAAAGGTCGGGAGTAAGGCTGTAAGTGATGAAGAATGAGAAAGGGTATAGAGTATTAGAGTATAGTTTGTCTTGAGCTGTGTTTTAGTGAGGAGAGCATTGGGAAGTGAAGAATTATTTAGTGTTCACCCTGAGGCAGAACCTTCGCACATTCCACTTGGGGTCATTGTTTCTTGCTAGTCTTGAGTAGAATTTCCATGGGCTCGTATGTTTTCTTTAATCCCACAGCATGAGCCATTGGCATAAAGGGATATTCACTATCAGTGTGAAGAAGCACTGATTTCAAACTAACATTACTGAAATCGGTGAATAGTCACCATTCTGGAGAAGGGTGACTATTCACTATTCTACATGAATGCAGAACCATGCCATTCTCAGTTTATTAACATACCACCAAACTTGTACAGCGTGCACGAAGTTGAGGTATTTTTAATGTTTCTGCTAAAAACTCACACTTTTGCAAACGCGATACAAGAAGTTTTGCCTTCTGCTGTGAATGGTCAAAGTCCCGGCAAGGTCATTAAACTCCTGTAGAGTGATTAAGTGAGGTTACTTCAAAGACACATTTTTGTGGTTCGGAAGGACTGCTGCTCTCGGTTTCTTCACTGTCATCACGTTAAGTGTCATAAGCAAAAGGTGGAAAAGGTATATAACAGCGTCCTCCCTATGTAGCGCACTTTTTAGAGTTGACTCAAAATCTGGATACGTTAGGTTGTTTATGTGTTTCTTAGAGAATCCAACCATATTACCCATGCAGAAGTAACAGTCATTTAGGTGATTCATCAGTTCTCGCCACAACATTGGAACTGCAAATGCCATTGATGTATGTTTCCCATTCATCCACTGTGTCAGTCCAGAAGTACAAACAGTAGATCATATATGTGAAGCCCTTGCTTAATCTTGATTACTGTCTTGCAACTGGAGCAGTACTTTTATCTTGACAAACGTTATTATTACGAACAAAGGTTTAGATATGGCCTGCACACATTGCCCAAATGCGATTACCGCAGAGGAACAAGCAAAAGACAACAGAGTATAATTGAATTATATTTCCTTCACCAAACCATGCTGGTATTTACAGTATATTATAGCCTATGTACGTATTTACACTATGTACAAGGAGGCAAAATCAAGCATGTGACAAGGTTATCAATGAGGTAAATGCAGGCACAATACACTGTAAACAGTGAGTGACCAGTAGTGAAGGCAAGTTGCTTCACAGCTTTGGTGGGCTTCCTTGTTATTGGCAGGTTGAACCAAGGTACTGGCATAACCACGGGGCTCCTTTGATCGTTAAACCCTTAGCACCTGGTTCACTGGTCGGGAGGCAGCCTATATGGGTAACATACACCGAATAAAATGTAACATAATCTTAGCATGTCAGTTATTTTTTTCGGTCATCACATGACGTATGTTTGCCATATACATACCAAATCCTGTCTGTATTGAACATGCAGACAGCTGTTCATGTCACTACATGTTAGTTTGAAATACAGTTTTCATATAACAGCGCAAAGCACATCAAATATAAGTATGGAAATGAAATGTGACAGAGAAATAAAACGTATATGTAATGAATAGTGACCTTTTGTAAATATGTCTGAACACTGGAACGACCAGAGCTCAACTGATGCTCTCTGACTCTTCCTGAAAAGCAGCTATTATATGTAGGATTCATATCTCAGTATGTAAACACAGCCGCATGTTTTGTACATGTAAGAAGACACGTGTATTCAAATCTATACGTGTAACCCAGAATCACATGAATTACTAATTTATTACGAGTTATGTTATTTCTCTTCCGATTATGTTAATTGCTGTAATATGTTAATTCTAAAAGCTTTCACGTATAGATATAACAAATTTATTGTTGTCCGTTGATCAGCGACCTCTTCCACTTCTCCCACTTACTTTCCCTCCAGTGGTGTGCGTGTGTGTGTGTGTGTGTGTGTGTGTGTGTGTGTGTGTGTGTGTGTGTGTGTGTGTGTGTGTGTATGTGTGTGTGTGTGTGTGTGTGTGTGTACTCACCTAATTGTGGTTGCAGGGGTCGAGACTCAGCTCCTGGCCCCGCCTCTTCACTGATCGCTACTGGATCCTCTCTCTCTCTGCTTCCTGAGCTTTGTCATACCTCTTCTTAAAACTATGTATGGTTCCTGCCTCCACTACTTCACTTGCTAGGCTATTCCACTTGCTGACAACTCTATGACTGAAGAAATACTTCCTAACGTCCCTGTGACTCGTCTGAGTCTTCAGCTTCCAGTTTGTGACCCTTGTCCCTGTGTCCCCCTCTCTGGAACATCCTATCTCTGTCCACCTTATCTATTCCCCGCAGTATCTTGTATGTCGTTATCATGTCTCCCCTGACCCTTCTGTCCTCCAGTGTCGTCAGTCCGATTTCCTTAACCTTTCCTCGTACGACATTCCTTGAGCTCTGGGACTAGCCTTGTTGCAAACCTTTGTACTTTCTCTAACTTCTTGACGTGCTTGACCAGGTGTGGGTTCCAGACTGGTGCTGCATACTCCAGTATGGGCCTAACATACACAGTGTACAGTGTCTTGAACGATTCCTTATTGAGGTATCGGAACGCTATTCTCAGGTTTGCCCAGGCGCCCGTATGCTGCAGCGGTTTATTTGGTTGATGTGTGCCTCCGGTGATGTACTCGGTGTTATGGTCACCCCAAGGTCTTTCTCCCTGAGTGAGGTCTGTAGTCTTTGTCCACCTAGCCTATATTCTGTCTGCGGTCTTCTTTGCCCTCCCCAATCTTCATGACTTTGCATTTGGCTGGATTTGAATTCGAGGAGCCAGTTACTGGACCACATGTCCAGCCTCTCCAGGTCTCTTTGCAGTCCTGCCTCATCCTCGTCCGATTTAATTCTTCTCATCAACTTCACGTCATCTGCGAACAGGGACACTTCAGAGTCTATTCCTTCCATCATGTCGTTCACATATATCAAAAATAGCACTGGTCCTAGAACTGACCCCTGTGGGACCCCGCTCGTAACAGGCGCCCACTGTGATACCTCTTCACGTACCATGACTCGTTGCTGCCTCCCTGTCAGGTATTCCCTTATCCATTGCAGTGCCCTTCCTTTTATGTGTGCCTGATCCTCCAGCTTCTGCACTAATCTCTTGGGGGGAAAACTGTGTCAAAGGCCTTCCTGCAGTCTAGGAAAACGCAATCTACCCAACCCTCTCTCTCGTGTCTTACTTCTGTTACCTTGTCATAAAACTCCAGGAGGTTTGTGATACAAGATTTGCCTTCCATGAACCCATGCTGGTTTTCATTTATAATCTTGTTCCTTTTCCCCAGGTGTTCGCCCACTCTCCTCCTGATAATCTCTCCATGACTTTGCACACAATACATGTCAGAGACACAGGTCTGTAGTTTAGTGCCTCGTTTCTGTTTCCTTTCTTAAATATGGGGACTACATTAGCTGTCTTCCATTTCTCAGGTAGTTGCCCAGTTTCAAGGGATGTGTGTGTGTGTGTGTGTGTGTGTGTGTGTGTGTGTGTGTGTGTGTGTGTGTGTGTGTGTACTCACCTATTTGTACTCACCTATTTGTGGTTGCAGGGGTCGAGTCACAGCTCCTGGCCCCGCCTCTTCGCTGATTGCTACTAGGTCCTCTCTCTCCCTGCCCCATGAGCTCTATCATACCTCGCCTTAAAACTATGTATGGTTCCTGCCTCCACCACATCACTTTCTAGGCTATTCCATGGCCTGACTACTCTATGACTGAAGAAATACTTCCTAACATCCCTTTGATTCATCTGAGTCTTCAACTTCCAATTGTGACCCCCTTGTGTCTGTGTCCCATCTCTGGACATCCCGTCTTTGTCCACCTCGTCTATTCCGCGCAGTATTTTATATGTCGTTATCATGTCTCCCCTGACCCTCCTGGCCTCCAGTGTCGTCAGGCCGTTTTCCCCTCAACCTTTCTTCATAGGACAATCCCCGTAGCTCTGGGACTAGTCTTGTTGCAAACCTTTGCACTTTCTCTAATTTCTTGACGTGCTTGACTAGGTGTGGATTCCAAACTGGTGCTGCATACTCCAGTATGGGCCTGACGTAGATGGTGTACAGAGTCTTAAACGAATCCTTACTGAGGTATCGGAACGCTATCCGTAGGTTTGCCAGGCGCCCGTATGCTGCAGCAGTTATCTGATTGATGTGCGCCTCAGGAGATATGCTCATGTTATACTCACCCCCAGATCTTTTTCCTTTAGTGAGGTTTGCAGTCTTTGGCCATCTAAACTATATTGTGTCTGCGGTCTTCTTTGCCCTTCCCCAATCTTCATGACTTTGCATTTGGCAGGGTTAAATTCAAGGAGCCAGTTGCTGGACCAGGCTTGTAGCCTGTCCAGATCTCTTTGTAGTCCTGCCTGATCCTCGTCCGATTCGATTCTTCTCATTAACTTCACATCGTCTGCAAACAAGGACACTTCTGAGTCTATCCCTTCCGTTATGTTCGTTCACGTATACCAAGAACAGCACAGGTCCTAGGACTGACCCCTGTGGAACCCCGCTTGTCACAGGCGCCCACTCTGACACCTCGTCGCGTACCATGACTCGTTGTTTCCTCCCTGTCAGATATTCTCTGATCCATTGCAGTGCCTTTCCTGTTATGTGTGCCTGGTCCTCTAGCTTTTGCAGTAACCTCTTGTGAGGAACTGTGTCGAAAGCCTTCTTGCAGTCCAAAAATACGCAGTCGATCCACCCCTCTCTCTCTTGTCTTACTTCTGTCACCTTGTCATAAAACTCTAGTAGGTTTGTGACACAGGATTTTCCTTCCCTGAAACCGTGCTGGTTGTCAATTATACACTTGTTTCTTTCCAGGTGCCCCACCACTCTCCTCCGGATGATCTTCTCCATGACCTTGCATACTATACACGTTAGAGATACAGGTCTGTAGTTTAGTGCCTCATGTCTGTCTCCCTTTTTAAAAATTGGGACTACATTTGCCATTTTCCATACCTCAGGGAGTTGCCCAGTTTCAAATGATGTGTTGAAGATCTTTGTTAATGGCTCACACAATATCTCTGCACCCTCTTTAAGGACCCATGGAGAGATGTTGTCTGGTCCCACCGCCTTTGAGGTGTCAAGTTCGCATAGCAGCTTCTTCACCTCCTCCTTGGTTATATGTATCTCATCCAGCACTTGCTGGTGTGCCCCCCTATTCTGATTTCTTGGAGTCCTACTGGTTTCCACTGTAAATACCTCTTAAATCTTGTGTTGAGCTCCTGACATACCTCTCGGTCGTTTCTTGTGAATTCCCCATCACCCTTCCTCAGTCTGATTACCTGGTCCTTGACTGTTGTTTTCTCCTGATGTGGCTGTACAACAGCTTCGGGTCAGTCTTTACTTTTGATGCTATGTCATTTTCATATTGTCTCTGAGCCTCCCTTCTTATCTGTGCATATTCGTTTCTGGCTCTTCGGCTGATTTCTTTATTTTCCTGAGTTCTCTGTCTTCTGTACCTTTTCCATTCTCTAGTACACCTAGTTTTTGCCTCCCTACACCTTTGGGTGAACCAAGGACTCGTTCTGTTCTTCCCATTATTTCTGTTTCCCTTGGGAACAAACCTCCCCTCTACCTCCTTGCATTTTGTTGCTACATAGTCCATCATTTCTTGTACTGGTTTTCCTGTCAGTTCCCTCTCCCACTGAATGTCTTGAAGGAAGTTCCATGCCTGAGTAGTTCCCCCCTTTTGTAGTTTGGTTTTTCCCAGCCTATTCCCTGCTACTCTCTCCACTTGGAGCTCAACTATGTAGTCGAAGCACAGAACCACATGATCACTAGCTCCCAGGGGCCTTTCATACATGATACCCTCGATGTCCGAACTACTCATGGTGAATACAAGGTCCAACTTGCTGGTTCATCCTCTCCTCTCTCTCTGGTAGTGTCTCTAACATGTTGATGCATGAGGTTCTCCAGTACCACATCCATCATCTTGGCTCTCCATGTTTCGGGACCCCCATGGGCTCCAGGTTTTCCCAGTCAATCTCCTTGTGATTGAAATCACCCATAACTAGTAACTTTGCTCCCCCCATGTGTGCTCTCCTGGCCACCTCGGCTAGTGTGTTGATCATTGCTCTGTTGCTCTCATCGTATTCTTCTCTTGGCCTCCTGCAGTTCTGTGGTGGGTTGTACATTACTGCAATTATCACCTTATGTCCCTCAGACTGGATTGTTCCTACTAAGTAGTCCCTTTCGCCCATGCCATCCATTCCTTCCATTTTCTCAAAACCCCACTGGTTTTTAATGAGCAGTGCAACTCCTCCTCCCCCTCTCCTCCCTCTGTCTTTCCTGAAGATTTGATATCCGGATGGAAAGATTGAATCTGTTATTATTCTGGTGAGTTTTGTTTCTGTGAGTGCTATTTATGTCTGGGGATGTCTCTGATTCTTTCGTGCCACTCCTCATACTTGTTTGTTATTCCATCTGCATTTGTATACCACACCTTCAACTTCTTTTCTAAGACTGTGGTCTGGGAAGTATATTGGGGTTGGGGAAGTGGGAGACCTGGTAAGGAACTATGGGTTGTTGCTGTGGGGTGAAGTTTGTAATGTAGTGGGTGGGGGCATTGGATGTGGCATGGGTGTTTTGATTTAGAGTGTTTGGTTGCATTTGGGGTTGACCTGGTTGGGAGGCTTCTAATAGAAAGTTGTGAGGGAGGCTGTATTAGATCTTCTTCCTGGGTCTGGGATCTCCTGTCTGTCTTCTCCATCCCTCTCTTTCCTCCTTTCGCCTTTGTACCATCTCTCTCAGTTTCTTCCTTTCTTCTTGTGTTCTGTCGCGGTCGAGATACACCCTCCTGTATGCGTCATGTCCCTTAATCGTGCTTTCTCCTGC